CATTATCTTAAAATACTTACTGCATAAACCTAACACTAAATCTGAAAAATTCTAGGAGTTGGCCCAAAAAAATGTCATCATACTAGTTTTTCCACAGAATCTGTAAGTGCACAGTAAATCGGTAGTGTTTGCGTAGTGAAAAACGTATTCAACCCGACTCTCTCATTGTACTGAAGACTTTTCTACTATTCTAAATTCTGCCAAGTGTCTGAAAATTCACAAACTAGATCCTCCAAAGGGCATATCATCTAACCTAAGCATATTTCCTTGGTATTTTTCATTCAATAGCTTCAGTGTAGAAGCTTCAGTGCTCAAAGACGCCCTATTTTGGAATGGTCTTATTTTAAATAGTATGAAATGTAAGACAATTTTTGTCTGCATAGCTTTATCTTCTGAATTATTTGTGTACACTTGGTAACTCCATTAAATTGGCCTCTAGCCACCCATAGTCTGTCTTTACTGAGGTTTGGTTTTCCTTCTGCCCAAATGAAAAGTTCAGATATTTTAACTTACTAGTCTGTTTCTTTCTTTTTTTAATTAGGTTTTCAAGTGGACAGGAGACAACATGTTCTTCATTAAAGGAGACATGGACTCCCTTGCTTTTGGTGGAGGAGGGTAAGTTATAATGTCTTTTTGTCATTAGAGTCTCTTAAAAGTGTGCATGTCTGCACATCTTTGAAAAGAAAATTTGGAATTCACTTCAGTCTGATAGCTCAGGACTCAACAGTTACCAGTCAAGGAAGATTTAGTATGTCAGACGTTTAGCTTCCTATGCTGAGGAAACTTAAACGGGAGGTTTGTCTTCAGCATAGTGTTACATCAAGTTTCAGCCTTGCAAGGTCATGATGCCTTGCATGCTCTACTTACATATGTGCCTTGGGATATTCAGAATGGACACAAGATATTATGATTCTGAAGGTGTGGAAATTATGTGTAGCTAGAAGAGGCTTGAATTGAAACTGTACCATCCCGAGATATGGCAGTGTCTTCAGAAATTATGTGTTGTCTCAGTCCTTTCCCCCCCTCCGCCATGCATAAGCATGGGATGTTCTCATATATAAGAGTACTGTTATGCCTTTTTCTTAATATAAATGGAAGGGAGTGAAAACTAAGGAATTCTCGTTAGCTTTTTATTTCAAAATGTCTGCAAGAGGGATGTTCCCAAATTAATAATAAATAGTAAAAAAATAATAAATCTTTGCAGTTTCAAATTTATCAACAGGTATGAGGCATTTGTGTTGAAAAAGAATTCTATAATCCCTCCTTGTTCCTGAATTCTGAATGAAAAATACATTCATAAGTTTAATGGTTACTCCCTCAGTCTTTTGCTTTAATACATTGTCTGTCTTGCAGAGGGGAGTTTGCTCTTTGGCTCGATGGCGATCTCTACCATGGAAGAAGTCATTCATGTAAAACATTCGGGAATCACACACTTTCTAAGCGAGAAGACTTCATTATTCAAGACATAGAAATATGGGCTTTTGAATGAGGATTTAACTATTTCTACAGGGTATTGTCCCAAACCTGACATGAATCAGTGCAGCTCAAAAATCCCTAGGAGCAATATAATGCACCAGTTTACCTTTCTCATTTCTTTTGTAAGTTTTCAGCGTGGCCATCTAGTTGTTATTTTTAAATAGCAGACTTTTCTTCATGCACTCACATCTGTAATATACTGTCCTACTTTTCTAAGCTGTAGACACTTTTACAAAGTATAGACCACATGGACTAAATTAACATCAGTTACTTTGAGCCTTGCAGCCTACAAAATTTTCTTACCCTTTTTACAGTTGCCTCCCAGGTTTCCCACACACACCTTTCTGCAATCCTACTAGGGGGCTGCTTCACTGAATATAGGTTATTTTTGTATTCAAATTATGTCTATAAATGAAGTTGCCCTCTGTGAACCTATGTAAGAAGAAAGCTGCGTGTGGGTGTTTGGTCCGGACCAATGATGGTTTAATTCATATGGTGCCACAAATAGATGAGAAGCCCAGCATTCCTTCTTAACACATACCAGTACACATATGGTGAAGTTAGAAGATACCCAAAGTCAACAGTGCCACTTGTCTTGTTTATTGTTCATGTTTAGAAAAAAAAAGTTGGTTAATACATGTTCTAGCTGCATGCTGATTGTATTAAAGTGTGTTTTTGCACATGCTGTTAACGATCTGCAGGTTTGGGACAAATACTGACAATATTGAGCTACGTGGCAAGGACTTATAAAATAGCAAGGGAATATAAGAGTATGATAGTTCCATAAAATTAAAAGGCTAAAGCAAGCAAACCTCGGTGAGCAATTTGTAGCTATAGTAGGGCATTAAAAGTACAGAAACAGATGCATCTTTCTTCAACATAAAGTGTCAGATATATGCTGTTATACTGTTGTAGCCGTGTAGCACATCAACTCCAAGAATATAGCTTATTCCTGTCCAAAGAAAAAAATAGTTGTGATGTTTTTGAGTGGGTCTATGTTGTAAATTTACAGTTAGCACCAGCTCTGATTAAAATGAGATAATGTACTATACGTAGACAATATTGTAATTCAGTAGACTCGTGGAATATGCAAACTTACTGTCATGTGACCTCAAAAAAAAATGACAGGCTAGAATACAGTTCCAGTAGCTCTTGTCCACTTTTGTAGAAAAATTGATAAGCCATTGTGGCAATAACAGCTCAACAAAACTTTGTTTCAAAGCTTTTATTCTATGTTCTGCAAAAAACAAAAACAAACAAAAAAAACCCACAAAACAAAAAAATTGCTGTTAAATGTGACAGTGACTGACTTTGTGCTGAAATTTCAGCTATTTCAGATGAACATTGTATATTATCTTGTAAATTAATGTTTAAAGTAGTTTTGTTATTATAGAAAAGTGTTGATTGACGGGTTGCTTATAGCACTTTAAATTATTCTAGAAATGGAATAAAAGTCAAATGGGTTGGCTTAAGTAGATGTAGTTGTATAGTTCAAAATATTAACATCTCTGGAAAGTTTTAAAAACTTATTTGAAGACAGCTTACTGCTATGGTAATGAGAAAGGGCAGATGTTTCATCTATAATACGCTAATGCTCAATATGAATAGAAATACAGGGCTTTGTTTCCTGTCTCTATGTATAGCTCTTTATCCTTATTATATCTTAGTACAATGTGTAGACTAAATGTTTACAAAATAAGGAACTGTAAATAAATTGAAATGGCTTTTCTCCCCTTTGGTCTTCCACAGCAGTATTATTGTCTTTGTGGAGTTAAGACTGACTATTACAACAACAAAAAAATCCTCAAATGGATTTTAAGTACTATAAAGTCACAGTGATGTATAGCAAATAAATCTAAATATATGTAAAAATAAACTTGAGTTGGAATTTATTTAGAAGTTGGAGTTTACTTAGAAGCACAAATGCAGATTATTGCTGCTCATTTAATAACTTTACTCAATATATAGGATGCACTTGCTCATCCGTTTTTGGTTTTTTGAAAGCCCAGTGGGAAGCAGTGAGAGTGAAATATGCCGTCTTCATCCATTTTCAAGAGAGAGAAGAAAAGCGTCTCAGATTATCCTTCCTGACAAAACCCATTAATTCAAGTGCTTAGTCTCTATCTTAAGCTCATATTGCAAATAAAGCGTATTTTAGATTTTGAATGCTACTGTGAAGAATTTTATAAAGAATTATAGTTTGAAGAATTTTATAAAAGCACAGAAAATCTTCAATAGCTGAATGTCTCTAAGTATTGGACCAGTCTTGGAAAGGCACATGGTGGGGGGCAGGGGGGGGAAGTGGAAATCAAGAACAGTATAGTAAGCAGCACAGTACCAATCATGCTTATATAAATACTAAATTAGTTAAGGAGCAGAAAGACATTTGAGTTAATGACTGTGGTAACACTCAATGATGTGACTAGCTGTAAAGGGCACGCATTACTGTGTAGATCTATTAATGAAAGACTATGAATTTTGTTAACCAAAGCTGTAGTTAATTTCTGTATGACACGTATAAAAAGACTCCATAGATGAGATCAAAGGCACTGTCTTGATGTACCTCCTGCCTTCAATTCAATATGCGTTTTCTGCAATATAATTTCTTTCCGTCTCTCCTGGCAAGGTTTGCTTCTGTGATTGTAAAGAGTTGAGGTTTAACATATGCTGAAGGCTTTAGGAGCTACATTTGGCAGTTCAGTGCCAGAAGACTCTGCCTCAGCATACCGTACTCAGATGCATTCATTGACTAACAATGTTTTCCTCAGGTACCTGGGATTCTCACCACGTCTTTCAGCACTAACTCCTATTTATGTTAATTTTGTATAATCTGCGAAAGGACATGATTTCTCACATATGGGTCATGCTTGCACCTTCCTGCTCATCTATATATACTACAGTAGAGTTTTGGGGGTTTTTTGTATGGGAGTTAGCGTGTCTGCACAAAATCCAGTCCTGGAAGAGGAGTAAAAATATTTACTAATCAGTTTCAAATTAAAAAAAAAAAAAAAATAGCAGTCTTGATTTGGATACTCCCTGAAATTCCTCAGTGAGGACTTGAATCTTAAATCTCACTTTTGTATTCTTCCTTTGTAAATGAGCACATCATCAGAGTGTTTTACTATTGTCACAGCAATAGAGAACTCAAGGGAACAAACCTCTACTCTCTCTCCATTTAAGAGTACGTGCTACTGCAGCGTGAAATAGAGCTACAGAATATAGTATCAGAAACGGTGTGGCCAGCAGAAGTAGGGAAGCGATCGTACCCCTGTACTCGGCACTGGTGAGGCCGCACCTCAAGTACCATGTTCAGTTTTGGGGACCTCACTACAAGACAGACATTGAGGTGCTGAAGCGTGCCCAGAGAAGGGCAATGAAGCTGGTGAAGGGTCTGGAGCACAAGTCTTATGAGGGGCAGCTGAGGGAACTGGGGTTGTTCAGTCTGGAGAAAAGGAGGCTGAGGGGAGACCTTATGGCTCTCTACAACTACCTGAAAAGAGGTTGTAGCCAGGTGGGTGGTGGTCTCTTCTCCCAAGTATCAAGTGGTAGGACAAGAGGAAGTGGCATCAAGTTGTGCCAGGGGAGGTTTAAATGGGATATTAGGAAACATTTCTTCACTGAAAGGGTTGTCAATCACAGGCTGCCCAGGGGAGTGGTTGAGTCACCATCCCTGGAGGGATTTAAAAGACATGTAGATGTGGTGCTGAGGGACATGGTTGAGCGGAGGACTTGATGATCTTAAAGGTCTTTTCCAACCCAAACGATTCTATGATACGCTGTGGTACTGGAGCAGAGAGAGAGTGTCTGGCTGAGTGAATGGTATACACTTATTTTGACTGGAATACAGATCAAAGCTGGCTGTCCCATTGCAGTATCACCAGTGTGATGTCTGTTTAAGCTCTGCTTTCTGCTGTCCTGCTTATCTGACAAGCTTTGTAATCCTTGTCGTGTTTCTGTTGTAGTAGTTACGCTGCTAGTAGTACACACGCTGTTGAACACTAAACTACTTTCATTGTGCCCTGTGGTGGAAGCAGTGACTTTGAGATGTTGGTGTGGTGTGTTGTATACATAGCAGCTGAAGTAGTTGTGGCAACAGGACTTGCCAATGTTTGTTCTGTGATCAATGATGATTGAACATCTCACCACAAATGTTGTACTTTCCACTACAGCTTATTTTATTTCAGTAGCCTTCCCTTGTTTTAAAAATGAGCTGTAATACGGAACCCTGGTTGTACAGAAACATTTTAAAGAAGCAATTACTGCAATGGAGGAGGGAGCTGATTTCCTGTGGGTGGGATATGCATCCAGTGAACCATCCGCTTGCCTCAAGCCACTGCAGCAACTGCTCTAAGACTTGAAAAAATACAAAGGTGTGAAAGTCAAATATATTTCTTCTTATACAAATTCCATCCTGTTACTCAAGCATGAAAGGTACATTCAGAATATGGAAAATGTACCTCACAGTTCCTACAGAAGAGTTTTTCAATACCAAGGAAGGAACTCCACTTTCCTAGCAAACTATACAACCCTTGCAAGAGAACACAAGCCTCAGACAGGAAAATAAGGCACATGTTACTTATCAGAAGGAAATCTCTTTCAAATAAAACTTTTTGGGGGTGAATACAGTAGTTAAGAAAATAACATGCTAAGCTACCATGAGAGTAACCTTTATCTGAAAGGTTAAGGGTTTTATTTTTCAAGCAAGTCAGCAATAGGAAAGCAGGTCTTAAAATCTATGAAGACTGCTTTAATCAAGCAGTTTCTGACCTTTATCACCTTACTACTTAGAATTTAAGTAGAATATTTAGTTTCACAGGAATGTAACAGTTACAATATAGTAGGAGAGGTAGACTGAATAATTTATGGAGTACTTTTGTTCAGTTGTTTTTTTAATGAATTCAGATTTATTTTCTCCATCTACTTTGCATGGATAAGCTTGTCACACATCTTTATGTTAAAAAAAAGTTGTAAAATTTAACCTATGTAAAACACTTCCATACATCATAAATGATACCAATATTAAATATTTATCTTACACAAAAACTGTAAATACTTTTCACACTCTAGAAGGCTTTGTATGTTACTGCCTAATCAAAGGTAAATGATGGAGGATGGTGTGGGACAAATCATATAGTCATATCACATGTGGGTTTTTTATCCAATTGGA